AGAATCCGATTATGTTGATTTTATTTTGATGAAATTGATTGTCAATAATAAAAATGATTAGCTTAAGCCATGTCATCATTTTTCTTAAGACATGTCATCATTGATGTCATAGTTTTAGGCCAATTGAATTAAAACAAATAAACTTTCAACTAATTGTACTTGCCTTTTAATAGGAAGGGGATATCAAATATATTAAAAAAAGGAAAGTTCCTTAAAAATTAACACAAAGGGTTTAAATTCGAGTTTAAACAAGTTTTAAGATATTAGAGAAATAAATAAAAGTAGAAAAACAAAATATTTCTCTCAAGCATGACGTGAGAGAGAAAAAAAAAAGAAGAAGATATTTTTGCCTTTAGCATAACGTCTCTATCGTGAAGATTTGTCGCTGAAAATGCATCATGCGAAGTAGTATCGTAGTCGTCTTCAGGTTTTCAATCGTAGCGACTAGCGAAGCGGTTTAAAACCAAACCAGAAATTTTTAACGAATTGATTGATTTTTTTTTTTTAAAACCAAGAGTCACCCTCTGTACCGTTTCGACCAAAACAAAAAAAAGTCACTCTGTAGTCTGTACCGAGAAAATTGGTCTGATTTAGTTTGAAAATAGAAATGTTTGAAGACAAGATATGATAATGAAATGGATAATTAACTTATATTATCTCAAGTTGAAAAAAAATGTTGTCTAGCTGTATAACATAGGTCCATTAAGATGTAGTTCAACACTATTCTTGTAACCAGAGATTCCAAGATTGCAAAGGATTTACAAACGCTTACCTAGTTCGACCTACAACTGAGAATCGATCCTGATAGTGAACATAGAGAGGAAGAAAATCTGATGACTCACTAGGAACATCAGCTAGGCAACGGATGTGTAGAGAATCTACAGTTGCAAGTAGACGCAGTCAAAATTAGATGCTAAAAACACCCACCACAACTCCCGCATATGAGATAAACAAGTCACTGAAGCAGACTTACAGTTTCTCCATCTGTCACCGTTACATCGTTGAACCCTATAAATGGGTCCTCTGGGGAAATTGATTCATTGTAAGACCCAATAGCAAGTTAATGCGAGTGCCATTATCACATAGACACACCATAGAGAGGAAACACATAACACAGACATATTCTAATCAAACTTATTTCCTTTCTAATCGCAAATTATACTTTCGGGTGATGAAGCGGGTCAAGGCCTAAAGTCGGGTTAGCTTTGTGCTTGGGCCTAACAAGTTCGTCTTGGCCCACTCGAAAGCTGTTATCATGTTCGTTAAAGACAAACTTCACCCRTCAGAGAGAAACAGAGCTTTTAGAGAGAGAAATTTAGTTACAGATCAAGAAGAGTAGAAAGAGAAGTCGTACTCTACATT